GCGTTGTACGGGTGCGAAACAAGGACAGTGGGCGCGGCGGAAAAGAATAGTTTAGCATTCGAAATGTGGTGTTACAGGCGAATGATGAGGATACCGTAGACAGAGAAGGTTAGAAATGAAGAGGTATCAGAAAGAATAGGAGAACATAGGACTCTATGGAAGTCAATAAGAAATAGGCGAAATGGACAAGGGGACAAGGTCTAGTCAAAGACATGTAAGAGGCAGAAACAGGAGTTAGGAGGGGTAGAGGTTGACCTAGATTAGATTACTGTTCGGAAGTAGTTAAGGATGTGGGTTTTTCTAGTTTTAGGGAAATGCGAAGTTTAGCTCAGGATAAGAAAGAGTGGAAGTGCGTGTCCAACCAGTCTTAGGACTGACGACTTTAAGATGATGATGTATTGAAGCAGTGAAAACCGATGTACTAAAAAAATTTGTGAATCCATTTAAGTATACATACTTAAAAATTAATTGTCAAAATGTAAGAAAAAATTAACCATAACAATTAAAACAATATTCTTGTGAATATATGACAAATATTGCCTATTTTATTAATGAGTTTACAGTTCTGATTTCAAAAAAATGTGCAGAGTTATGATTTACATCCAAAATGGCTCGCATAGCATTAAGGATGAAAAGCAAAATTAATACGTCCGCTGCTGCAGTCATCATGACGAACACGCAAAGAACGCTAACAATAAGGACTTCATATATATCTATACATACTATCTATAATTTCCTTAATCTATCTACTTTTCTCTTCAGGGGTATGACGAAGTAAGGAATAAAATAATGAAAGGTTGAGGGAAGTGTGACACAACATCCTGGGGGAACTGTAGGATAAGTAATGGATTGTAATGTAGGGGTGGGATAGACATAAAAGTCAGCAACATTAGCGCAAGTAATTCCTTACATTTTAAGTATGGCACTTAAAAAATATTAGGATGAGTACCTATATATTTTCCGTTGTCAAAATGTTTTATAACCGTTTTAGGCAAATCGTAATTTACATCCTTTTCCGTTTACTTCACCTTTTAGTATTTAACCCTCTAACATCGATTGGCTTTCGTCGTAATGAATCCTAATCAGTGCCATTTGGAAGCGCCGATGGAGAAGAAATTATCCTTTGGTAATGAAGTTGCGGGAATCGTTAACACTGTCAACCAACCTAGCTTACATTAATCTTAATGAGCTGTGATCTTTAATTAAATAAATTGAGAATTTCAGCTAAACTCCTAATTAGATCTAGTTTTAGCAAGTCCAAATCTATCATTACAAAATTCAGGATTATCTGAATATAATATTAATCAACATATGTAAGACTTAAAAGTTGTCTCGACTAGGAACACACGTCGAAAGTAATGAATAGCCAAAGTTACAAATAACTCTTAGCTGAAAATGTGCTTGAATATCCAACGAATAGTATCGATACATTTTATGTATCTATTAATTTTCATTTTTGTTTACACATTTAGAAAATTGAAAATGTACGTTTTAGCTTTACGGGTAACAATAGAGAAAACAATTGAAAAAGGAAAGAGCGAGTACATGGGATTTGTACTAGATTTAGAAAAAGCTTTTGACAATGTTAAATGGGACAAGATGTTAAACATACTTAAAAATGTAGGGATGAGTTACAAAGATAGAAGAGTGATACTTAGTTTATAGCAACGTAGAGAAATAAATATTAGGAAGGGAGTCAGACAGAGATGGATACTGTTACCGCTACTTTTTAATCTATACATCGAAGACGCGATCAATATCAATAAAGACAGTACAACTGTAGGGATAGATATGCAGGGGCAAATGATTAGTATGCTTAGATTTGCAGATGATATAACAGTATTAGCATCTAGCAAGGAAGAGTTAGAGACAGCTTTAAATAAAATGGAAGCGGTATTGACGATACAGACTGTATGAAAATAAATAAAAGTAAAACAAAAATACTGATATGCAAGGAAAGAAAAAGTAGAGAAAGAGCGAATATAAAGATAGGAGAGGAAAAATTAGATGAAGCGGCCGATCATATAAGTCAGGACGGAAGTAGTAGTAGGGATATAAAGCAGAGGATAGCGCAGGGTCGAGTCGCCTTCAATGAAAAGAAGTCACTTCTATACTCGCGAACGGTTAATTTAGAAATTCGAAAAAGGTTGTTAAACGTTTATGTTTGGAGCACGGCGTTGTACAGATGCGAAACATGGAAATTTAGATGATGATGGATGCTGATGTCTGAGGATGGGCTATAGTGAATATATTTAACAATTGAAGATAAAAAATCAGGAGAAGTCGCTGGTTTTCGATATTTAGGAAGTCAAATAAATTACTATGGAAAAGTGACGGGCAATCTTGCGAATGGTCAATTGGAAATCTGAAAAAAGTTTATTTTTGGAACATCGTTTTGGGATAGTGTCCGGCGCCTCCACCATATCAAGAAATGGCATTTATTGTAGCAGGTAATATGCGTTAGCTTGCAATTTTAAATAATTTAGATGTACTAACTTTGTACCAGTGAACTAAATAGTATTTTATGGATACTGCGTAATAGGTAGAAAAGGTTAGATATGAGCAGGTGTTAGAATAAGCAGGAGAACAGAGGACGCTATGGAAGTTAATAACAAAAAGAGAAGTAGGGTGCTAGGATACTTGACGCATGGTAAAGGCAGAAACAATTATTTTAAAGTATATTTCTTATAAGTTGCAGAAGCTACGAGAAAACTAAAATTATTATTAAAGAGCTGTCAGGTAATTTTATTTTTAACAAAGCTGAGCTCTTTTCATTATTTATTTTAATATTTTAGTGGGATTTATTTAAAAGAGGAATATCTTCTAGTGACTTTATTATAGGCATGGTTACCTTACTGAATATGTATGAATAGTTTGATTATAGCCATTATTGTCATCATTGGACATAAAGTATTTTTGTTTAGCTAAGGTGCATATTTAGAGTAACTTTAGGATTTCCTCTATATGATGATAGTTTATTGAGTAAGAATTAGATTTGAGTGAAAACAAAAATGGTTTTTATTCCATTTTGTAGGATATTTCTGTCGACATTTTGTTCCCAGACATACTAGATATCGTTAAGATTCTTCTGAAGTCGATGGGTTATTCACAACAGAAGAACTGATGCGATACAAATCTGGATCCTAAATTTCATGTAGTGAGCAACACCCTCCGAAGGATTCCAATTTACACTGTGACCAGCAGCAATCTTCTGATTAAATAATTTAAAAGAACTCTGAGAATAAAACACTCGGCAATTCATACAGATATATGATTCATAATTTAAATGATTTAGGAAATATTTCAAGAAACTTGTGAAGCTGAATTTATGTTTCACCGAATGTTTACTACGATGCGGACTCGACTGTAATGCATTTTTAACACGAACATGAAAATTTATTTATTTTTATCGTCTTATTTTAGTATTAGTTATTCATAAAGCTCTCTTAAGCATATTTTTACATGAGGTTTAATGGATAATATTTGGAATTTGAAGTTTCTATTTGTTTCTGTTAGAGTTAAAACCCGTTTTTGGATAGAACGCGTTTTCCCTAGTTAGAACTAGCTTTTACTAAATGCCTTTGTAAAACTAGAAAAACCTAGTCAAAACTAGAATTTACCACTGATGTATTTGATTTTCAGATAAAGCTAGTTGTCACTCCGAGCTTTAGTTAAAAATAGCACTAGTGAAACTAATTTGGGATCGAAAACAAGATATGGTTTTAAAAATATTTATTAAAAAGATCTAAGACACAGAGTCATGTACCTAGTAAAAATAATAATCTTACACTAAAGGAATATTGTAGGGAATATCAACATAAATTAATTGCCAAGGTGACAATATTAATTAAAAGTTAATAAAATAAATAATCAAACAAGTCAACAGAACACAACCATAAAATTTAAAAAAGGAACATTGTTGAGAAACATTGGTTAACAGACAATAAAAAATAATTAAATAACCCTAAAATTAAAAAAGGATGAGGATCTCCCCCCGTTTGTCGAATCAGCTGACGTCTTGCGACTAATCAGAATAAGTTACGATGAACTTTAACTTCGGTCGGAATAGTTTTAACAAAGGCATTTAGTAAAAACTAGTTCTAACTAGGGAAAACGCGTTCTATCTAAAAACTGGTTTTAACTGTAACATTTCCTAGACACAGTCTCTCAGTTATTGCCTAAGTGTTTTTATGGATCTCTCACCGTCTCTGTAAGAGAGACTCGAACGATAAAATTATTAATTCAGAGATTCGAGTCTCTCGCAGAGAGACTAAATGAATAAAACTGAAAAATTGAGAGACTCGAGTCTCTCGTAGAAAGACTGGGATCTCTGAAATATGGTGAACTTAGAAAATTTTAACCATGTCTATCGAGACACCACTTATTGAGAGATGAGTCTCTCGTTCAGAGCTTCGAGTTTCTCAGAGACTGGATACGAAATGAGGATCTCTCCATGAGCGACTCGAGTCTTTCGTTGAGAGACGCTAAACAGTTTTTTTGACAGTCTCTCTCGGCGACACGAGAGAGACTCGATGAGAGACGGATACTCGAGTCTCGCTTTCAGAGACTCTGAGAGACTAAACATTTTTATCTCGGGTTACATTATTAATTATTATACATAATTCAGAACATTTACAACGCATAAAGCCATATTTTAACGGAAGTTTGGATAATTCCCGATGTTCTGGTGCTATTAAAAATATATCTACAGCTGTTTGCTAGTTGTCGAGCAGTTCTGCGTATGCAACAAACTGGAATGTTAGCAGTTGTTATTGTCGTTGTTATTGCAATTATCGTCGTCCGCTCTTGCTTTCAGAATATAGGAATTGGATAGCGAAGAGAGATCGAGACAAAGAGCTTTCAGTCGATACAACGACGACAAACAGTGGCACGGACATTGGCGTTAATGGAAACCAACATAGCAGTGTAAATTCAATGCGTTAGCACTAATATAGAAATGTATTGGTTTCTAAACGGGAAAGGCATGAAATTCGACTTACCATTGATTACATGGATGTTGACGCTAGCCGGTGTGGCAAGGGTCGGTACACAGGAATAGTTTCCGCTGTCGGAAAGGCGGACATTCGAAATGTGCAGTCGGGAAGTGAGTCCGTCCACCCAATTGTTCTGAAACAGTGGTTGTGGTCAGTTTATTGCTTTCTGTACCGTTCTATAATAATTGTCAAACGTGAAAAGCGACATATCTCCTCCTAATACAATGGCCATTCATCCCCTTTACTACTACTTTTATTGCCTTTATTACGTGCAGGTATGTTCTATAAAATCCTTGATTCAACAAAACGAATCGGATAACTTTTTAAATTAATGGACGCGCGCACTTCATATCAATGGCAATAAATTAAGGAAAAAGAGAAAATAGGATATTGAACAACAAAATAGATACAGTAGAACCTTGATAACTTAAACCTCGTTAACGTAATAACCTCTACAAATTCATAAAATTTTGTGTTCCCTTCCCCTCGCAGTCCAAAACCTCTATTACATAAAATAAAAACCCTCTATAACTTACACGAATAATTTGGGCATCGCACCTCAGTAAGCAGTGAAAAGTGATTTGAATCGGGAGAAAGTCTTCTATGTAAAAGACGAAGAATTGCTGAATTTCCTAATTTAGAAAAATGCTTGTTGTTTACAGGGTTTAGACAGTGTACAAATATGTAAAAACATTAGTGTTAGTGGATCTATACTAAAGGAAAAAGTGGAAATCCATAATTTTAAAGCTTAAACTTAAACCCTTAACAAGTAAAAACCTCAACAATTATATTATTTTACGTTTCCCTGGGTCTTTATCTTATCGAAGTTCTACTGTATTTGAATTTAGGAGAAAGCTAAACTAAGTAAACTAACGCAGCTTTACCTCTCCAGAAGACAATAAATAAATTTTGATGTCATTTTTAACGTTAAATAAAAAACGAATTAAGTTAATAAGAACGAATGAAATTGTTAGTTATCTATCTAATTTTAATGCTCGGGTTATTTTTCTGTGGTAATCTTATTAAAATTTTTTACGTAGACAGTACGTTTAAATGACGACATTCCGGAATTTTTCATAACTGCAGGATGATCAAATACTATAAATTACTAGATAAGGTATTCCTTTATTTGTAAGGCGTTGTTAGTATTTTAAAAATCGTATTGTCACGAAAAGCTAACAACGCTACGGATGTTGGACTGTTAATAAGCATTTTTTCCGGAGAGAGCTACTTATTTTCATAAAAATATCACTTCTCGGAATTATATTTACTAATGCGCTGCTACTTCACCATTTATCATAAATTATGTTTTAAGCTCGTTAAATTGTGTTTCTTTTTCTTTAATATGACAATATCTCCTTATTTCATTTGTATTACAAAATATTATCGTGAAAAATATCCGCGGAGGGAGAATGGTTTAATGACGATTTACACGTTTTTGAACGTTAAGATTCTTGTATCATCTAGTTCAGGGCTGTCCAACTGGCGGCCCGCAGGCCGTATACGGACCGCCAAATTATTTTTGCGGCCCGCGAGTACATTTTACTATGAATAAATTTATGTTATTAAATTAATATTATTAAAATTACTTTACTATGTAAAGT